GAAGTCAAGAGTTCGAGCCCAACCTGGCCAACATGGTGATGCCCCGTCTCTACTAAAAATACAAAAGTGGGCCGGGCGCGGTGGCTCACGCCTGTAATCCCAGCACTTTGGGAGGCTGAGGTGGGTGGATCACGAGGTCAAGAGATCGAGACCATCCAGGTCAACATGGGGAAACCCCGTCTCTACTAAAAATACAAAAAATTAGCTGGGCATGGTGGCGCGTGCCTGTAATCCCAGCTACTCGGGAGGCTGAGGCAGGAGAATCACCTGAACCCAGGAGGCGGAGGTTGCAGTGAGCCGAGATCGCGCCATTGCACTCCAGCCTGGGTAACGGAAGCGAAACTCCGTCTCAAAAAAAAATACAAAAATGATTTGGGTGTGATGGCGGGCACCTGTAACCCCAGCTACTTGGGAGGCTGAGGCAGGAGAATCGCTTGAACCCAGGAGGTGGAGGCTGCAGTGATCACACTACTGGTGAGAATCTCCAAAAAAAGAACAGAAAGACAGGGTCTCGCTCTGTTGCCCAAACTGGAGGGCAGCGGCGCGGTCTCAGCTCACTGCATCCTCCACCTCCCAGGCTGCAGTGATCCTCCCACCTCGGCCTCCCACAGGGCTGGGATTACAGGCGTGAGCCGCTGCGCCCGGCCTGTGGGCAGGTTCCCACCGGTGGTTTTGGAAACGCTGTGGAGAGGACAGTAAGCGCGGAGGTCTGAGGTGGAGGGGGGCGGGTAAAAGGGCCATCACCGCCCTAGGGCTCTCATCCCCTCCTGTGACACAGCCTCTAAGTGTGCTGTCACGGGGTGGGGGCGGCAGCAGCTCAGGAGAGAATGACCCAGAAAAACAGCCCGGGAGGGAGCCTGCTGGGAGGGAAGGATTGCCTTCCCTGTAAAACGCCCAGGTCAGGATTAAAGGTGTTTTCTGTGGGGGGGCTCCTGCCCCCTCTCTCGTCCCCTCCCTTCCTCGAGTTCCCCACAAACCCCACACTGGGGCGGGAGGACCGAGGCCTCCTGGAGACCGGGGGCTCCTCTCCTTCCTCTCGGTGGGGCCCAGACAGCTTCCTTCCCACGCTCCGTGCTGGTCCATACAGCGTGTGAATTCCCGGTTTGGCATCTGTCCCTGCGCGTTCGCGTCCACCCTAATCCAGAATTCAGTTTGGCGTTGCCTTTATTTTGCCGTGAATAGGATTGCACCATATGGTATTGTTTGGCAACCTTGATTTATCTCCGCCACCTTGCCCTCTGGGTGCGTATCTTTTGGGATTTCATAATAATCGTGGAGAGTGGTTTTTTTTTTTTTTTTTGAGACAGAGTCTCTCTCTGTGCCCCAGGCTGGAGTGCAATGGCGCGATCTCGGCTCACCGCAACCTCCACCTCCTGGGTTCAGGCAATTCTCCTGCCTCAGCCTCCCGAGTAGCTGGGATTACAGGCACGCGCCACCGTGCCCAGCTAATTTTTTGTATTTTTTAGTAGAGACGGGGTTTCACCACGTTGACCAGGATGGTCTCGATCTCTTGACCTTGTGATCCACCCGCCTCGGCCTCCAAAAGTGCTGGGATTAGAGGCTTGAGCCACCGCGCCCGGCAGGAGGAATTTCCTCTCTCAGTTCTGGAGTCTGGAAGTCGGAGCTCAGGCAGGTCCACGCTTCCTTTGGGGGCTTTTGGGGAGACCCTTTCTGACCATCCCTGCTGTCACTCGTCACTTGCCCTGTGCAAGAGTCACTCCAGCGTCTGCCCGGGTTGTCACCGGGCTTTGCCTGTGCCGCCGCATCCAAATTTCCCTCATAAGGACACCAGTCATGGAATTAGGGCTCCCCCCACTCCCTCGTGACCTCGTCTTAATGAATCACAGCCGCAAAATACAAACTCTGTCCTCACTTAACGGACGATGCCTCCTGGGGCTCCGCGTCTGTCCGCTCTGGAAGGCACTGGGAAGGCAGGAGCTGCCTTCCTAGATATTTCGCCGATGAGGATGGACGGCCCATGGGAACCGTGAGGAGACGCAGCCTGGCTTGGGCCAAGGGGCCTGGGGGATGCCTGAGGGGACTCAGCTGCTGAGACGCCAAAAATAGCCAGCTGGCAGGCGGGGACGTGGCCAAGCAGAAGAGGCTGGCAATGCCGCCTGGTAGCTCCGGCTGCTTCCTCCGCTCCCTCCAACCCCACCTCTGCCTCCAACCCCACAGCCCCCAGAATCTGGGCTACAGCCAAGGAGATGGTAAAGGTACGGCAGGCTCCCAGGAGAGATGGAAGCAGCACAGAAGACACAGCCACCAGGACCCACGGAGCACTGATGTCTGTTCCTCTCGGCCACCACGGCTCCACGCCATCTGCTCCCCACCCAGAGGCGCCTCGTAACCCAGCTCCCCGTCCCACTCCACTCTCTCCCTCAGTTCCACCAGGTGACCACTGTACCTCAGGGCCTTTGCACGGGCCGTTCCCCCAGCCCCACACCCTTCCTCCAGAAAACCAGGGGCTCTTTTTTTTTTTTGAGACGGAGTTTCACTCTTGTTGCCCAGGCTGGAGGGCAATGGCGCGATCTCGGCTCACCGCAACCTCCACCTCCTGGGTTCAGGCAATTCTCCTGCCTCAGCCTCCTGAGTAGCTGGGATTACAGGCACGCGCCACCATGCCTGGCTAATTTTTTGTATTTTTGGTACAGACAGGGTTTCACCATGTTGACCAGGATGGTCTCGATCTCTTGACCTCGTGATCCACCCGCCTCGGCCTCCCAAAGTGCTGGGATTACAGGCGTGAGCCACAGAGCCGGGCCAGGCTTTTTTTTTTTTTTTTTTTTTGAGACTGAGTCTCCCTCTGTCACCCAGGCTGGAGTGCAATGAATGGCATGATCTCGGCTCACTGCAACCTCCGCCTCCCGGGTTCAAGTGATTCTCCTGCCTCAGCCTCCCAAGTAGCTGGGACTACAGGCGTGTGTCACCATGCCCAGCTAATTTCTGTATTTTTAGTACAAACAAGGTTTCACCATGTTGGCCAGGCTGATCTTGATCTCCTGACCTCTTGATCCGCCCACCTCAGCCTCCCAAAGTGCTGGGATTATAAGGCGTGAGTTACCGCACCCAGCCTTTTTTTATTTTTTTTTTGAGACAGAGTCTTGCTGTGTCTCCAGGGGCTGGAGTGCAGTGGTGCAATCACAGCTCGCGACAGCCTCAACTCCTGCGGTAAAGCAATCCTCCCACCTCAGACTCCCCAGCAGTTAGCAGTATAGCGCACAGCACCACACCTGGCTAAGTTTTATATTTTAGTAGAGATGGGGTTTCCTCATGTTGCCCAGGCTGGTCTCGAACTCCTGACCTCAGGTGACCCCCCCCCCCCCCGCCTCGGCCTCCCAAAATGCTGTCATTCCAGGCGTGAGCCATCGTGCCCGGCCTTGAATGTATCTTTTGTAGGGACACAGTTCCACCCACAACAGGGTCTGAGATCAATTGTCACCTCCCTGTCTGTCGATCGGCCTGTCCTGGACATTTTATAGAAATGAGATCACAGCAGGGCTCAGTGCGTCACGCTTGTCATCCCAGCACTTTGGGAGGCCCAGGTGCGTGGATCACCTGAGGTCAGGAGTTTGACACCAGCAAGGCCAACATGGTGAAAACCCGTCTCTACTAAAAATACAAAAATTATCCGGGCGTGGTGGCGGCCACCTGTAGTCCCAGCTACTCGGGAGGCTGAGACAGCAGAATGACTCGAACCTGGGAGGCGGAGGTTGCCGTGAGCCGAGATCATGCCACTGCACTCCAGACTGGGCCACAGAGCGAGACTCCATTCCAAAAAAAAAAAAAAGAAAGAAAGAAAGAAACGGGATCACACACTGTGTGGCTTTTTGTGTCGGGCGTCTCTCACAAGCATGGGGTCCTCAAGGTACATCCCCTGTGGCCTGCGTTAGCGTTGCTTCTTTCCGTGCTGAGCCGTGTCCATTTGTGGATGGCTGTGCTGTGGACTCCCCACCCCCGATGCGCCTCCCAGCCTTTCCCGCTGTTTGGCTGTGACAGACTCAGCTGTGAATGCTCCCGTGCAGGTATTCTGCGCACGGTGTGTTCCATTCTCTTATGTAAAGATAACAAGGGGCAGGCCGGGTGCAGCGCAGTGGTTCACACCTGTCACCCCAGCGCTTTGGGAGGCCGAGGCAGGCGGATCACCTGAGGTCAGGAGTTCGAGACCAGCCTGGCCAACATGGTGAAACCCTGTGTCTAGTAAAAATATGAAAATTAGCCAGGCGTGCTGGCGGGCACCTGTAGTCCCAGCTACTCAGGAGGCTGAGGCAGGAGAATCTCTTGAACCTGGGAGGTGGAGGTTTCAGTGAGCCGAGATCGTACCACTGCACTCCAGCCTGGGCGACAGAGCAAGACTCCATCTCAAAAAACAAAAAAAAAACAGGAGTGGAATTGCAGCGTCACAAGGACTGGAATTTCATCAATACTGCGCTTTTTTTTTTTTTTTTTGAGACAGGGTCTTGTGCCATCTCCCAGGCTGGAATGCACTGCGGTAATTACAGCTCATTGTGGCCTCGACCCCCTGGCCTCAAGCAGTCCTCCCGGCTCAGCCTCCCAAGTAGCTGGGACCCTGCCTGGGTAAATTTCAAATATTTCCCAATTACTTGCAAACCAGCTAATTTTTTTTTTTTTTTTTTTCCTAGAGACAAAGGTGTCACTGTGTCAGCCAGGCTGGCTTGCAGTGGCACCAGTGTAGCTCACCGCAGCCTCAACCTCCTGAGCAGCCCAAGCGATCCTCCTGCCTCAGCCTCCTGAGCAGCCGGGACCACAGGTCTACACCACCACTTGCGTCTAAATCTTTTATTTTTTGGTAGAGATGGGAGTCTCGCTGTGTTAGTGCAGGCTGGTCTCGAACCCTCAAACTCAAGCGATTCTCCCACCTCACCTTCCCAAAATCCTGGGCGCTGGGGCGGGTTAGGGGTGAGGGCTGGGTGCGGAGGCGCCCCGGGATTGGGGGGGCGGTGCTAACGGTGCTAACGCTGCGCGCTCCCCGCCCGCAGGTGCGCAGGAGGATGGTGGCGCGGCCCTAGGCCCACGCTCCGCACCATGACCTGCTGGCTGTGCGTCCTGAGCCTGCCCCTGCTGCTGCTGCCCGCGGCGCCGCCCCCGGCCGGAGGCTGCCCGACCCGCTGCGAGTGCACCGCGCAGACCCGCGCCGTGGCCTGCGCGCGCCGCCGCCTGACCGCCGTGCCGGAAGGCATCCCGGCCGAGACGCGCCTGCTGGAGCTCAGCCGCAACCGCATCCGCTGCCTGAACCCGGGCGACCTGGCCGCGCTACCCGCGCTGGAGGAGCTGGACCTGAGCGAGAACGCCATCGCGCACGTGGAGCCCGGCGCCTTCGCCAACCTGCCGCGCCTGCGCGTCCTGCGTCTCCGGGGCAACCAGCTGAAGCTCATCCCGCCCGGGGTCTTCACGCGCCTGGACAACCTCACGCTGCTGGACCTGAGCGAGAACAAGCTGGTGATCCTGCTGGACTACGCGTTCCAGGACCTGCGCAGCCTGCGGCGCCTGGAGGTGGGCGACAACGACCTGGTGTTCATCTCGCGCCGGGCCTTCGCGGGGCTGCTGGCGCTGGAGGAGCTCACCCTGGAGCGCTGCAACCTCACGGCGCTGTCCGGGGAGTCGCTGGGCCACCTGCGCGGCCTGGGCGCCCTGCGGCTGCGCCACTTGGCCATCGCCGCCCTGGAGGACCAGAACTTCCGCAGGCTGCCCGGGCTGCTGCACCTGGAGATCGACAACTGGCCGCTGCTGGAGGAGGTGGCGGCGGGCAGCCTGCGCGGCCTGAACCTGAGCTCGCTGTCCGTCACCCACACCAACATCAGCGCCGTGCCGGCCGCCGCCCTGCGCCACCAGGCGCACCTGACCTGCCTCAACCTCTCGCACAACCCCATCAGCACCGTGCCGCGCGGCTCGTTCCGGGACCTGGTCCGCCTGCGCGAGCTGCACCTGGCCGGGGCCCTGCTGGCCGTGGTGGAGCCGCAGGCCTTCCTGGGCCTGCGCCAGATCCGCCTGCTCAACGTGTCCGACAACCTGCTGTCCACGCTGGAGGAGAGCACCTTCCACTCGGTGAACACGCTGGAGACGCTGCGCGTGGACGGGAACCCGCTGGCCTGCGACTGCCGCCTGCTGTGGATCGTGCAGCGGCGCAAGACGCTCAACTTCGACGGGCGGCTGCCGGCCTGCGCCACCCCCGCCGAGGTCCGCGGCGACGCGCTGCGCAAGCTGCCCGACTCGGTGCTGTTCGAGTACTTCGTGTGCCGCAAGCCCAAGATCCGCGAGCGGCGGCTGCAGCGCGTCACGGCGGCCGCGGGCGAGGACGTGCGCTTCCTGTGCCGCGCCGAGGGCGAGCCCGCGCCCAGCGTGGCCTGGGTGACGCCGCAGCACCGGGCGGTGACGGTCGCCAGCGCGGGCCGGGCGCGCGTGCTCCCCGGGGGCACCCTGGAGATCCGGGACGCGCGGCCGCAGGACAGCGGCACCTACACGTGCGTGGCCAGCAACGCGGGCGGCAACGACACCTACTTCGCCACGCTGAGCGTGCGGCCCGAGCCGGCCGCCAACCGGACCCCGGGCGAGGCGCGCAACGAGACGCTGGCGGCCCTGCGCGCGCCGCTGGACCTCACCACCATCCTGGTGTCCACCGCCATGGGCTGCATCACGTTCCTGGGCGTGGTCCTCTTCTGCTTCGTGCTGCTGTTCGTGTGGAGCCGCGGCCGCGGGCAGCACAAGAACCACTTCTCCGTGGAGTACTCGTTCCGCAAGGTGGACGGGCCGGCGGCCGCGGCGGGCCAGGGGGGCGCGCGCAAGTTCAACATGAAGATGATCTGAGGGTCCCCGGGGGCGCGGCCGGGCCCTCCCCCTCCCCCTCCCCACCCAGCCCGCCGCCCTCGGGCCCGGCCGCGCGGGGCCACCTATGCATCTTCCGGAGGGGGCGGGGCGGCTCCCCCGGCAGAATCTCCCCTTTTTTTGTAGACGCCCAACCGCAGGACTGTTTCATCAGCATGCGTCTTTTTGCAGTTTCTCAAGCGTTTTCTAAAGGTTTCAACCCGTCTTCCTGTCCCTGCTATGGTGGCTGAGCTGGGGGAGGGGGTGCGGGCTGCAAGGATGGGGGGATGGGCTGCCGTCTGCCAACCCGGGAAGGCCGGGGGGGTCTCAGAGACCCCAGGGTTCTCAGGCCCGTAGTCCACACCCAGGAGGCACATGGCTGCTGCCGCCAGGCCCTGGGCTTCCGCTCCCCCAGCTCTTGGCACTAAAGTCACATAAGGGAGATGGTGGACACTCAGCCCCCACGGGAGGGTGCACAGAAAGTCTGCATCATTCACACCTGGGCGTCCTGCACCTCACACTCAGAGACACACTGACACCCGGAACACAGTCACACAGGTGAAACACACCTCACACCCAGAGACACACCGGGAAGTCACACAGGTGAAACACACCTCACACCCAGAGACACACCGGGAAGTCACACAGGTGAAACACACCTCACACCCAGAGACACACCGGGAAGTCACACAGGTGAAACACACCTCACACCCAGAGACACCTGAAACACACCTTACACCCAGCTGACAATAAAACCAGGCCCTGGGCACCAGAGTTGACCACAGGGGCAAACAGGGTTCTCATGAGAGCAGAGATCACACCTGGGACACAGCTCACATCTGGGACACGCTCTGCTCACACCCAGAACACACACAGCTCACACCTGGGACACATTCAGCTCAAACCCAGGACACAGCTCACAGGACATGCTCAAGTCACACCCAGAACACACAGCTCACACCTGGGACAGATAGCCCACACCTGGGACACATGGCTCACACCTGGGACACACGGCCCACCCAGCGCCTGCTCAGCTGAGCATCTCCTAGCCGACCTTCAAGCGCAGGCTCAGGTCTTGCTGAGGACCCAGCACACACGGTGGGGTCCTCACACCCCACCCTCTGTCCTCCCCACAGCCCAGCAGGGGTATCCACAGGGAGGAGCCATCACCGGGTCCCTCCACCTCCCTTCCCTGCCACTTGCTTCCCAGAACAGCAGGCAAGAGGGGGCCACCGTGGCCCCGGCCCAGGAGCATGGCTTCTGGGGTGCTGTGTCCCTCTAAATGCGTCTACTGGAGGGACCTTCGCCCCTAGGTCCTGACCCCTGAGCTGGCCTCAGATAGGCCCTGAGCGTGGCACTATCATGCCCGGCCCTGCTGACCCAGGACTCAGGTAGGGAACGAGACCAAGGAGCACAGAGGGTTCTTGGGGGCCCTGCTATGTGCATTGCAGAGGCAATGAGAAGATCAAGGCTGCAGCCAGGGCCTCCCCATGCAGCAAGGACCCCAGTTCTCGGGAGAGGGTGACAGAGGAAGCTTGGTCTCTGCACCTGCAGGGGTGCGGCAGATCTAGGACCAAAGCAGGAGTCACAGGCCAACTGCAGCTCAGGTCAGGGAAGATCTTCCCCCATTCCACCACTCTGTCACTCTACAGGTAGTGTGCTCCGTGTCACGGGGGGTAAGCAAGCAGGAGCTGAGGTTTTGCAGAAGGATTCAGACACCACACAGGGACCATAGGGACCGTCTGTGACCGGCCTCCCCACAGCTACTTCTTGCCCCTCCCTTCCACATTTGCCAGAGGAGTTAGGACACAGCTGGGGGCAGCTACAGGGACCTTTATTAGGCCAAAACCACAGCCAGAAAGGGCTTGGTCGCCGACCGAGAGGTCAGGACAGACCCTCCAGGGCTTTGCAGGAAAGGCTCAAAGGCAGCTCTGCTCCTGCCCAGCTGTGTCATCTCAGCTAGCGACTGAGGACCACCCGGACCGCCAGCGTCATCTGTCAGACGGGTCTGAGGGTCAAACCCGTGACCCCGTATTCAGAGGCCAGGCCTGCCGACCGGCTAGACGGCTAGACTTGGATCCTGGGTCCCTCCAGCCTGCTCTGAGATCAGCCAGAGAGAAACAGAGAAAGACGGCTCAGCCCTGGAAGCTCTGAGCAGAGGTTTCAGACGGAGCTGGAAGGAGACACCAGCCCCATCTCCCTGAGCGTGGCCGGGAGGGCCCAGGCCTGCGCCATGATGCGCAGAGGCCCCAGCGGAGGCTCGATGTGACTGAGGGGTGAAGTTTCTGCAACCCCAACCGCCACCCCCGAATTGGGCAAAACCAATTTTTTTTCTTTTTTTTTTTTTTTGAGACAGAGTCTTGTTCTGTTGCCCAGGCTGGAGTGCACTGGCGTGATCTCGGCTCACCGCAACCTCCGCCTCCCAAGTTCAACTGATTCTCCTGCCTCAGCCTCCCGAGTAGCTGGGACTACAGGCACGCGCCACCACGCAGGCTGTTTTTGTATTTTTAGTAGAGATGGGGTTTCACCATGTTGGCCAGGCTGGTCTCGATCTCTTGACCTCATGATCTGCCCACCTCGGCCTCCCAGAGTGCTGGGATTACAGGCGTGACGCGCCTGGCCCCGACTGTTTTTTTCTTAGCACCTGTCTGACCGGTTACCATGACAACCCCAAGGCCCCCCCCAAAATTGACATCCAAGTGCCTTTAGCCTGTCAAAGCCAGGAAGGGGCGCATTCTTGGCCATGTTAGGGTTCACAGAGCGTCCGTATATTAGGATTTCTCAGCCCCCGGAGCCCCCCACCCCATCCCCACATGAACCAAGACCCCTCAGCCCCCCATCCCTCATCCTGCTGTATTTGGTCCAAGTCCAATAAAAATGGAACCAACTTAATAACCTCAGATTTTGTTCTTACGCCCACGGGAACACCAGGGGGCAGGAGGCAGGGCTGAGGGATGAGGGGCTGCCGGGGTCCCCAGGGGGTGCTGCCGAAGCTCCAGCCCTAAAGCCATCTCTGAGAGAATTCCACACGGTGACAATGCGACAGGCCACACTTCCGCAGCGCCCATGCTGTTCCCGGCGCTGTGCCAGGCACGGTGTGCGTTCACGGCTTTCACGCTGAGGTGAGCCGGTGAGCTGGGTCCTGTTACGAACCCATTTTACAGATGGGTCGAGCAAGGGGCAGAAGATGGAGGGGAGCAGCTCTGAGGCCCCAGCTAGGGACAGGCGGGGGCTGAGAACAGCGGGCAACGTTGGGCTTTTGGAAAGCTCCTGCCCCAAACTCAGGCTGGGGAAGAAAGAAGACATCGGTCCCCGCTGTGCCTCCTGGAATTGGCCACTTTCTCTGTCCAGCAGATCGGGGGTCTTGCTGCTGCTGAGGGGGGCCCCATGTCCTCCCTGCCTGTCTCTCAGGGCTCCGAGGAAAGGCAGGGAGTCTTTGGTTTGGAAGAGAGCCTAATAAAGTGCTTTAGCCCTGTGCCAATCCTCACTGATGGGGAAACTGAGGCACAGAGTGGCGACAGGTGGGGAAACAGGCACAGAGAAGAGGCAGGTGGGGAAATTGAGGCACAGAGAGGCAGCAGGTGGGGAAACCAAGGCATGGAGAGTCAACAAATGGGGAAACTGAGGCACTGTGAGGTGACAGGTGGGGAAATCGAGGAACGGAGAGGCAATAGATGGGGAAGCTGAGGCACAGAGTGGCGACAGGTGGGGAAACTGAGGCACAGGCAGCAGGTGGGGAAACAGGCACAAAGAGGGGGCAGGTGGGGAAATTGAGGCACGGAGCGGTGGCAGGTGGGGAAATTAAGGCACAGAATGGTGACCCACAGTGGGTGCGAGGGCTCAAACCCCACCTGCCCGGGAAGGCACATGGAGAGCTTGTGCTTTTTAGGAAGAAGCACAGAGCTGGGACGCAGAAGCTCTGACCAAGGGCAGCCTCTCACTTGCTACGCCCCAGTGTCACTCTCCGGCCTCGGTTTCCCCATTTGAACCTGGGACTAAGGATCCTTTATTTCCCTGCCCTTCAGGATCAGAACAGCGGCCGTCAGGGACTGTGAGGCTGCCCTCCCTCCGTGCCTGGTTTCAAGGCGGCTGGAGGGCGGGGGCTCCAGGCTGCGGGATGCTCCGTAGAGACTGATTTCCCGTTCTCTCCGGCAGCAAAGGCAGGTGAAACCATTGCCCTGTGGGCCGCAGTCTCCATCCAGAGAGCCCCCCGCTCCCCGTGCAAAGCTCTGCACACCCGCCGTGAACCAGCTACAATCTCCATGGTTTCAATGAATCCTGTCTCATGTGTGGGGTGCACTGGGTGGGGGACAGGGGAGACCCCAGGTGAGAGGCCCTCCCTTTTCAGGGAGCCAAGATGCAGCTCAAGTCACACCTGCCTCCTTGGTTTTTTGTTTTTGAGACGGAGTTTCGCTCTTGTCACCCAGGCTGGAGTGCAATGGCGCGATCTCGGCTCACCGCAACCTCCGCCTCCTGGGTTCAGGCAATTCTCCTGCCTCAGTCTCCCGAGTAGTTGGGATTACAGGCACGCGCCACCGTGCCCAGCTAATTTTTGTATTTTTAGTAGAGGCGGGGTTTCACCATGTTGACCAGGATGGTCTCGATCTGTTAACCTCGTGATCCACCAGCCTCGGCCTCCCAAAGTGCTGGGATTACAGGCTTGAGCCACGGCGCCCGGCCCTGTATCATATTTTTAGTAGAGACGGGGTTTCACCATGTTGGCCATGCTGGTCTTGAACTCCTGACCTCAGATGATCTGCCCGCCTTGGCCTCCCAAAGTGCTGGGATTACAGGCATGAGCCACTGCGCGTGGCCGGACCCCCTGCTCTCTCTGGGCCCATTTCCCCTAAGGGAAACGGGATGGGGGAACCCCACATGAAATGCACTCAGTGGCTCACGCCTGTCATCCCAGCACTTTGGGAGGCCGAGGCAGGTTGATTGCTTGTGGTCAGGAGTTCGAGAGCAGCCTGGCCAACATGGTTAACACCTGTGATCCTAGCACGTTGGGAGGCCGAGGCCAGAGGATCGCCCCCGGGGTTCGTTCCAGGCTGCAGTGAACTGTGATTGCCCCACTGCGCTCCAGCCTGGGCAACCGTGTAACACCGTCTCCAAAAAAAAAAAAAAAAGACGGTTTTGACAGGCAGGCACTTCAGCTGGGTTTTTTCCATTCTTGATTTTCCCATTTATGGTGATTTTATCTAAAACGTCTTTTTCTAAATAAACGCGTCGAGGCGGTGAGGGAGGGGGAAGGGGAAAGGGAGACGATTACATTTTTTCAGAGAAAAATCCACCCGCGGCGGCTGATACCAGGATGGATGTGGGAGACGCTTTTCTTTCTTCGCAGGAGCAGGGAAAGGGCGGAGGTTTACCCACAGTCACACGGCGGGGCGCAGGGAGCCAAGAGGGTCCTCACCCACACTCCACGTTCCGGGGCCCCGGGATGGGGCCGAGGGCTGTCGGCGGGGAAGCCACAAACGCGTCTTGCACTTTTCCGGGGACAGCTGCACTTTTCCGGGGACAGCTGTCACCGTGTTCTGTGCCCTCCCCTACGGCGGGCCAGCTCTGCCCCCCATCTCACAGGGCTCCCCACTGCCTCCCACCCCAGCCTGGCCTCTGAGGCTTCGGCCCGCCTTCCACCTGCGCCCACCCGGCTGTCAGCCCTGGCGCTACTGACTTTCAGATGCCACCTCCTGGTGTTCGTCCAGGCTGTTCCCTCTGCCCGGGATGCTGTTCCTCTGTGGGCGGGCGGCGGAGGGGCGGCCCCAGCGGGTGGGGAAGTGTTGCCGAAAGGCCCCCCACCCCTCCCAGGGCTGCGGTCTGACAGTTGGCCGGACCTTTTCCTGTCGGCTGCTAGTGCTAAGTCAGACCCCTCCTGCGAGGCGGGGGGCTGTGGCCATTGGGAGTCTGTCCCCGAGGACCCCTCCTCCCTGGAGGTCACACCAGTCTTGAAGGTAGGGGGCTCCTGGAGCGGGGAGCTGGACAGAGGCAGCCACTTTTCGAGGTTAGGGGTCTGGGCGGGTGGGGGTGGGCTGGGGCCTGGCTGCCAACAGCCACCGCGCAGCTGAGCTCTGGGGGATGAGGCCTGAGCATGGATGCCTGGGTCCCTGGGTCCCTGGGTCCCTGACCCCCAAAGGCCTGTCCTCGGGCTGAACATCTGTCCCCATCCCAAACGTGCCGGAGTGGGGGTCCTTCCCACCAGCCTGGAACATTCACTGCCTCCTGATTTGAGGAAGTGGGCCCAGAGAGGGCAAGAAACCCTCTCAGGATGACACAGCAGGGTCATGACCGGACAGGGAAGCGGAGTGTGGGTGCCCCTCTTCTCGCCAAGGGCCCTGAAGTGGGGAGCCTCGGGGTCTCCCATGCCCCACACTCACGCACCCCCCATACCCACGCACCCCTCCCACATCACCCTGCACATCACCCCACATGCCCCCGCCTGCCCTTCCCCCAGCAACATGAGCAGCCCGGAGCCACCCACAGAGCCCCCCGAGCCTGACGACCCCACTGGGTCGACGCAGCCCACGTACAGCAACCTCGGTGAGCAGCCCCCCCGGGAGCCCTGGGCTGGGGGGAAGGCAGGGGGCAGCGGGGGCGGGTGTGCCAGGCACCTCGGCCTCTGGGAACAGCAGCAGCTGGTAAAATGAGTGACCTCAGAGGAAGGCCCGGAGGGGGTGAGGGCTGAAAAAGAACCTATGGGTTGGTGGGCGGAGCACAGTGGCTCACGCCTGTAATCCCAGCGCTTTGGGAGGCCAAGGCAGGTGGATGGCTTGAGCCCAGGAGTTCAAGACCAGCCTGGGCAACATAGTGAGACCCCATCTCTATTAAAAATACAAAAAAAAAAAAAAATGAGTTGCACATGGTGGTGCGTGCCTGTAATCCCAGCTACTCAGGAGGCTGAGGCAGGAGAATTGCCTGAACCCAGGAGGTGGAGGTTGCGGTGAGCCGAGATCGCGCCATTGCACTCCAGCCTGGGTAACAAGAGGGAAACTCCGTCTCGAAAAAAAAAAAGAAAGAAAGAAAAAGAAAAGAAAAAAGCGAGAGAGAGATACCTGCCCAAAGCCACAGAGGTCAACAGCAGTCACTGAGTGCTGGGTGGCACCACTCTCTAAAGTGATCTATCCTCCTATGAGCCTCAGTTTCCCCTTCTGTGACCTGGGGGTGGGATCCTCTCCTACAGGGCACAGAGCGGTTATTATTGTCTTTTTTCTTTTTTCTTTTTTTCTGAGGCAGGGTCTCACTCTGCCACCCAGGCTGGAGTGCAGTGGCTCCATCCTGCCTCATTGCAGCCTCCGCTTCCTGGGCTCAAGCAATCCTCCCACCTCAGCCTCCTGAGTATCTGGGGCAGCAGACACGCACCAGTGTGCCCAGCACATTTTCTTTTTTTTTTAATAGAGACGGGGTTTCACCATGTTGGCCAGGATGGTCTCGAACTCCTGACCTGGTGATCCGCCCACCTCGGCCTCCCAAAGTGCTGGGATTACAGGTGTGAGCCACCGCACACGGCCCCGGCAAATTTTTTCTATATTTATTTATTTATTTTTCTTTAACAAAAATTTTTTTACTCTCATCTTGAATTGTAGCAATTTTTTGTTTGTTTTTTGTTCTTTTTTTTTAGCAAATTAAAAAAAAAAAAATTTCAGCTGGGCGTAGTGGCTCACGCCTGTAATCCAAGCATTTTGGATGCCAAGGCCGGCGGATCACCTGAGGTCGGGAGTTCAAGACCAGCCTGACCAACATGGTGAAACCCTGTCTTTAAAAAATAAATAAATAAAATAAAAATAGAAACAAAAAATTTTTTTTCAGAGACGGGGTTGCCCAGACTGGTCGCTGTGTTGCCCAGACTGGTCTCGAACTCCAAGCGAGACTGATCCTCCTGCCTCGGCCTCCACCTTCCTAAGCGCTGGGGTTACAAGCATGAGCCACCGGTGCCCAGCCTTATTTCTTCCATGTTAGAGATGGGGAAACCGAGGCTCAGAGGTGGAGTCACATGTCCCATTCCCACTCCGCCTGTCCTCAACCCTCCCCACTGTCTCCCCCTGCAGGTGAGGTCCGTGCCCACCTGCTGCCCTCCAAGGCCTGCCGCCCCCGCACCCCTGGGTCCCCCTCCACCGACCCACAGCCCCTGCCCCCACCCCTGCCCCAGAAGATCTTAACCCGGACGCAGTCACTGCCCACGCGCAGGGGCCTCCACCCCAGCTCCATCCAAGGAAAGCCGCCCCGGAGGCCCCTTCTGGGGTCCCACAGTGTGGACGAGAGCCAGGCCGAGGCGGGACCAGCCGGTCCCCCTGCAGAGCTGACCTTTGGTCTAGCCGACGCCCCGCTGAGCCTCTCCCTGCGCGATCTGCACAGCCCGGGGGCCGTGCTCGCTGCACTGGCTGCCCAGCAGCTGGAGGGCCTCTGCGCCATCTACGCCCAGCTCCGCGCCCGGCTCATGGGAGGCCACCCGGGGCCCTGCCGCCCCGGCCACGGCTTCCGCCTCCTGGACAGCTCGCCCTGCGCGGAGAGCGGGGACGCCCAGTACTACCGCGTGGTGCGTGTGCACGAGGAGGCCTGGCACATCCTGGTGGCCAAGGTGAGCCCCTTGCCCCACTGTCTCTGAGGCGTCCCTTCCTGTCTCAGCATAACCCGGGGCTTGTTTCGCCTTGTGTGTTAGTTCCACCGCACGTGGAAGCCGGGCGTGGTGGCTGGCGCCTGTAATCCCAGCACTTTGGGAGGCCGAGGTGGACGGATCACCAGGTCAGGAGTTCGAGACCAGCCTGGCAAACATGGTGAAACCCCGGCTCTACTAAAAAGTACAAAAACTGGCCCGGCATGGTGTCGGGCACCTGTAATCCCAGCTACTCGGGAGGCTGAGGGAGGCTGAGGCAGGAGAATCGCTTGAACCCTGGAGGCGGAGGTTGCAGTGAGCCGAGACTGGGCCATTGCATTCCACCCTGGCAAAAGAGCAAGACTCCCTCTCAAAAAAAAAAAAAAAAAAAGGCAAGGCACGGCTCATGCCTGTAATCCCACCACTTTGGGAGGCTGAGGCGGGCCGATCACCAGGTCAGGAGTTCAAGACCATCCTGGGCAAATGGTGAAACCCCAGCTCTACTAAACACACAAAAACTATCCAGGCATGGTGGCAATCGCCTGTAATCCCAGCTACTCGGGAGGCTGAGGGAGGCTGAGGCAGGAGAATCGCTCGAACCCAGGAGGCGGAGGTTGCCGTGAACGCAGCCTGGGCAACAGAGTGAGACTCTGTCTCGGGGGGAAAAAGGAATACTGGAGACTGGGTAATGGGTAATTTATAGAGAAAAGCGTCTTAATCGGCTAATGGTTCTGGTGGCTTCGGCTTCTGGGGAGGCCTCAGGAAGCTTCCCGTCATAGTGAAAGGCGAAGGGGCAGCAGACGCGTCACCCGGTGGGAGCGGGAGGCAGAGCAGGGGGAGGGCCACACACGGGGACACAGCCAGACCACACCAGAACTCACTCTATCCCAGCCACAGTGCTGAGCCACGCATCATAAACCACCCCCAAGAGCCAGTCCCCTCCCCCCAGGCCAGGTCCCGCCTCCAACATGGGGGGGTGGTTACAGTTGCCATGAGAGTTGCTGGGGACCCATCAAAACCATATTAGACTTCACTGTTTATTTATTCATTTATAGAGATGGGGTTTCACCATGCTGGCCAGGCTGCTCTCCAACTCCTGGCCTCAGGGGATCCACCCACCTCTGCCTCCCAGAGTGCTGGGATCACAGGTGTGAGCCACCGCGCTGGGCCAGCCTTCATTGCTTATTTTGCAACTAACACGTGAATCAACGCAGTCAACCCAGGAAACCACGTTTCCAAAGCGCGGGTGGGGCCACGAGTATTTCCTGCGAGCCTTGGGAAAGCCCCTTGAACACCTGCCAGGGGCCCAGGATCTCCTTTTGTCTGGGCTTTTGTTTTTTGTTTTGAGACGCAGTTTCACTCTTGTCCCCAGGGCTGGAGTGCAGTGGCATGATCTTGGCTCACGGCCACGTCTGCCTCCCAGGCTCAAGTGATTCTCCTGCCTCAGCCTCCTGAGTGGCTGGGGTCACAGGCGTGCACCACCACGCCCAGCTAATTTTGTACTTTTAGTAGAGTTGGGGTTTCTCCATGTTGGTCAGGCTGGTCTCGAACTCCCGACCTCAGGTGATCCACCCGCCTCAGCCTCCCAAAGTGCTGGGATGACAGGTGTGAGCCACTGCACCCGGCCTAATTTTTTTTTAAACACAGAATCTCAGTCTGTCACCCAGGTTGGAGTGCAGTGGCATGATCTTGGCTCACTGCAACCTCGGCCTCCTGAGTAGCGGGATTACATGTGCCTACCACCGCGCCCGGCTAGTTTTGTAATTTTTTACTTTTACTTTTATTTTTTATTTTTATTTATTTATTTATTTTTGAGACGGAGTTTCGCTCTTGTTACCCAGGCTGGAGTGCAATGGCGCGATCTCGGCTCATCACAACCTCCGCCTCCTGGGTTCAGGCAATTCTCCTGCCTCAGCCTCCCGAGTAGCTGGGATTACAGGCACGCGCCACCATGCCCAGCTAATTTTTGTATTTTTAGTAGAGACGGGGTTTCACTATGTTGGCCAGGCTGGTCTCGAACTCCTGACCTCAGGTGATCCACCCGCCTCGGCCTCCCAAAGTGCTGGGATTACAGGCTTGAGCTACTGCGCCGGGCCCAGGAATGTTCTTTGGAACTCACTGCCCAGGGACATTCTGCCACCATCTTCCTCCCTGGCTTAATTTTCCTGAAAGTCCTCACAGTAGGTGACTAAATTCCAAATTAACACGGACCCCCTGCTTCTGGAGGGATGCGGGCAGCCCCTCCCCAGCCGGAGTGGGGGCAGTTTGGGGTGCGGGGCACGGGAGCAGGCGGTGCCGGGAGGGTCGGTGATCCAGGTCCCGACACCCCCTCTGCTTTGCAGGTGCCCAAGCCCGGGGCGGACGTGCCCCACCCGTGGGGCCTGGAGCTGCAGGCCTCCCTGTCCCCGCACTTCAATCTGCAGGGGCTGTGTGGCCTGGTGCCGGAAGGCGCGCTGCCCGGGGCGCCCTGGAGGGGCGCGGTGGCGCTGGCGGCGGAGGTGCCGGAGCGCACGGTGGCGCAGTGGCTGGCGGAGGCCCGCGCGCAGCCGCCGGAGGAGTTCGCGTGGGCTGTGGCCCTGCAGCTCCTGCAGCTGAGCGCCGCCCTGGAGTTCCTGGAGGCCCGGGGCGCCGCCCTGGTCGAGCTGCGGCCGGAGAACTTGCTGCTGGCGGCCCCGCGGGGCTGTGCGGCGACCGGGCCCCCGCGTCTGCTCCTCGCGGACTTTGGCCGCGTCTGCCCGCAGCCCCCCGGCCCCCACGGCCCCCACGCGCCGCAGCTCGGCCGCCTCCTCCGCGCGCTGCTCGGCCTCGCTGCGCCCTCGACCTTGGCCGCCGGCCTGGAGCGCCTGGCAGCGCAGTTGACCCGCTGGCGGCCCTCGGCGTCCCGCACGCGGGGCGCGCTGCAGGCGCTGCTCTGGGGGCCCGGGCCTGAGCTGCGCGGCCGGGGAGCACCGCTGGGGCCCTGGCTCGGGGCGCTCGGGCCGTGGCTGCGGGTGCGTCGCGCGCTACTGGTCCTGCGCCTGGCAGAGCGGGCGGCAGGCGGGGAAGCGCCGGGTCTCGAGGACTGGCTGTGCTGCGAGTACCTGGCGGAGGCCACCGAGTCCTCCATGGGCCAGGCCCTGGCGCTGCTGTGGGACTGACCCCAACCCTCAGCGAACACACCTGGCCCAGGCCTGCCCCGGAGGCAGGGCTGGGGCTGAGGTCAGCGTCTCCGTGAACGCCGGGACAACCCCCTCCTGCGGAGTCCAGGGCGAAGCAGAGAGAGCAGTGCCTGCGCTCCAGAGCCTCTCGCCTGCGCTGGGATGCGGGTCACGGGCTTCCCAGGGGTGCAGATGCCCGTCCAGGGCTGGGGGCTGATGGCCAGCGCCTCCTGTGTGGGCAGCACCTCCCTGAAGCCAGGCCCCCCACACGTCTCCCAGGAGCGGACACCCCACTGGATCACTGTCGCTCTGAATGTGTTCTGCCTTCCCCAGCAGCCAGGGCGCTCTTGCGGCGGCGGGGCCTGTCACTGGGCGACAGGGCCTGTCACTGTCTCCACTAGAGGCCAAGACCAGGACCAGAGGCATCCCTGGCCCCAGAGCACCCCCGTGCTGAAGATGACCAGTGATTCTGGGTGTGTGGTGGGAATTGCTGGATGGTGTCAGGGGAAGGGAAGGCTCCCTGGGACCTTAGACACCCAGCCCATCTCAGAGGGGTCTGGACTCACCGTCCCTGAAAGTCCCCGTGGGTCTGTGCCACCTCCCCCCCAATCCCTCTGCGTCCACCCTGCCTCCCTCCGTTCCTCCGTGACCACTAACTTCTTTCCCGCCCCCAAGCATGTGTAGAGGCTGTTTCCTCTGCCACACCGTTCCAGTTCCACTTCCTCTAAACAAATACAGGTTCCCCCACCGGGCGCCCTGCGAGCTGCTTACCCTGCGTTCTCTGCCCACTCCCAGCAGACGGCACCACCAAGGAGCATTTATTCCTCTCTCCTGTTACTGTCCCCAAGGCTGTGAGCTCCCTGGAGGCAAAGGCCAGGCCTGGCACACAGTAGGTGCTCACTTAATACTGCTGCATGATGGAATAAACAGGCACAGACTCACCAGTGGGGAACAGGAGTCGTCCTTTAGGGCTCTGCCACTCCGCACTGCCTTGCCTGTGGCCTCCCTGGAGCCTCAGGGTTGCCCCTCCATTCCGTTTCCCAAGGCAGTCCTATGAGGTCCCTCTCCAGCTCAAACGCGCCCCATGGCTCCCCAGTGCCCTGGAACACACGGGCTCTTCCCTTTTAAAGTCTCCAGCCCCCTGTTGTTCATCCTTGGAGGTACTTTCTGCTACCCGCCCCCTTTGCCCACAAGTGTTTTTTTTTTTTAAAGACCCGCCCGGAGGTTGTGGTGAGCCGAGATCGCGCCATTGCACTCCAGCCTGGGTAACAAGAGCGAAAACTCCGTCTCAAAAAAAAAAAGATCCGCCCACCTCAGCCTCGCAGAGTGCTGAGATCACACGGGCGAGCCACGGCGCTCAAGTTGGTTTTTACGCTGAAAACAGCCCCCTCTACTATACCTGACTCGTCTTCAGCCTGCAAGGCCTCAGCTCCAATGCCCCTTCCCTGCATTTGCGCTGCCCTAACGAGCTGGGAGTGTCTGTCCAGGTCTGTCCTCCCAGCCGACCCCACCATCGCTCAGACAGCTCAATACCGGCCCCCCCACCCCTGGCTGACTTTCAGGGCGGTGTTTCCGGCTGCGGCCGGCAGGTGGCGCTGTGGCCGCACAGTCGGCGCGGGAGGCGGGTCCGGAAACGGTCTGCAGGCCACACCCCCACCGGAAGTGCTCCTGCCCTGAACGACACCGCCCCCCATGCGCAGGCTGGGGCGGGAAGACTCCAAGTGAGCAGTAAGAGCTGGAGTCTCCTCCGCGGGAAAGGTCCCCGCGACCCCTCCCCACAGTCGCTGGCATTGACACCACGGAGCCACGTGCATGGGGTGTATCACTTTATTGGCTTTTGGAGAGAATAGAAGGGAGATGAATACCGCTCTTTCCAAGTTAAGACCTAAGACTGCTTCCGAAAGACTCCAAATAAACTCCTCCTCCAAGTACAAGGATAATCTGAATCATCTTAAACCAGCAATAAAAAAGTAAAATATAAATTTTTATTTAGAATTAAAGCAAATACTTCAGTATCACAAACACAATATTCAACTTCAAGAAATATACTGCTAATTTGGAGTGAGCATTTATTTGCACAATTACGACATGCGGACAATCCCGGGCGAGAGGAGCGAGTCTACGGTTCCCCCGCCCAGCTGATGGGGGCGACCCCAGGGGCTTGATGTGCAGCCCCGCTGAGGCTGCGGCTGCTACTCCTCCTCGCCGGAAGACTCTCTCTCGAACGTGTAGGCCATGAAGCAAGCGTCGGGTCTCTTGGGGACAAGGGGATGCCCCGGTCTCACAATCTCAAAGCCCAAAAAGCTGAAGGTCCGGAGCAAGGCGGCTGCGGGGAAGAGGCTCTCAGATGTCAGAGCCCCCAGTGCCCAGAAGCCCCTGCTGGGATGCCCGAGGGTGTGGGGAATGGAGACCAAGCCCGTGGGTTGAGAATGAAGGGGTGGGACAGGCACCCCCACACATCCGCTGCAGGAGATGAGGTCACCTACCTCTGTCCTCACGGTTTTTGTGGAAGCAAATGAAGACATGGTCGGCTCGCAGCTGCTCCTCAGCAAACTCCAGGAGAACTGCGAAGCTACAGCGCGCGTGAGCACCTTGCAGCCAGACCGACCCACCTGCCGACCTCCCTCCCGGGCGGTAACAGCTACCCAGAGGGCCGCTCTACTCCGGGGTCCCCCTGGGTCCAGATCATCTTACAGATGGGGCTGTCCTGAGACGGCAAGCAGCCCCCCTGGCCCGACCCACGCGCAGCCCCCATGTCAGAGAAGTCCTCAGACACTGCCCGGAGTCCCCTGAAGGGCCGACTCTCAGGGTGAGAACTTGCTGCACTTCTCCATCGCCCAGGCTGGAGTGCAGAGGCGCGATCCCGGCCCACTGCAACCTTCACCTCCGGACCTCCGGGTCTCAAGCTCTTCTCCTGCCTCAGCCTCCAGAGCAACTGGGACTACAGGTGTGCGCCACCACACCCAGATAAATTTTGTATTTTTAGGGGACAGACGGGGTTTCACCATGCTGGCCAGGATAGTCTAGCTCTCTTGACCTCGTGATCTGCCTGCCTCAGCCTCCCAAAGTACTGGGATTACAGGTGTGAGCCACTGTGCCCAGGCTGGAGTGACTTTATAAAAGGGACCCTGTGCCCACCCACAAAGCAATGGCAGCCCCCATATCTGCTACCTGAGGGCAGTGCTCTCCCTCATTGGGCAGTGACCCCCCTTGGGCAGCGCCCCCCACCTGCTCCCTGGACACCTGGGTAAGCATTCCCCACCTGTCCTCGCCCTCCTCGGGCAGCCCGACCTGTCCCCGCCCCTCACCTGTCCTTGCTCCCCTCGGGCAGCTCGACCTGTCCTCGCCCCTCACCTGCCCTTGCTCCCCTCGGGCAGCCCCACCTGTCCCCGCCCCTCACCTGTCCTTGCTCCCCTCGGGCAGCCCCACCTGTCCCCGCCCCTCACCTGTCCTTGCTCCCCTCGGGCAGCGCACCGCCCGGGATTTCGATGTAGAGGCTGCCGCCACTCAGCACTGCTCGCCAGTTGATGTGTTTGGCGTCTGTGAGCCTGGACTGGACGTTGAGAATCCTCGTCTTGTCGCTGGACGTTAGTTCCTCTGTTACATTCAGCCGATCATCCTGCCCAGGGGACGGTGCAGCCCAATTCACAACCCCTGAATTCAGAAGCCCCGCTGGCCCTACGGGGCTCCGAGACCGCGGCCGCCCACCCGCCCGGCAGCACTAAGGCTGAGGCCCAGGCCTGAGCTTCGGGAGCCTGTCCACCAGCTCCGACTAACTCCGAGTTCCCGGAATTAAACTAAGCCGCAGGTACAGGGCAGAAAGGTGCACAGCACGCGCCTGCGGCCCCAGAGCGGCCCCAGAGCAGCCCCAGCCCCGCCCCCGCCCGGCCCGGCCCGGCCCATACTCACAGAGTAGAATAAGTTAGCTGAAAGATTGTGATCCCTCTGACTATTCCCTCGCCCACCTGGGATCTTCAGGGGTGGGTGAGGGGCATCAGGAGCACCACCGAGGCCCCGGACCCGGGTTACTACAGCAGAGGAGAGACGCCCTGGAACTGCAAGAGACGCGGGTCAGGAGGCGGCGCCGGCTCCGGGCAGACACCCCTCCAGGGCGCGCGGGCGGCTTTCAGTCCAGTCCGCCCCGGCCGGAGGACCCCGCCCCGCCCCACACGCCCGGGCTTCGCGAGGGCATCTCAATCGCCTGCCCCCAAAACCGGGGGCAGAGGTCACTGAGCCTCGACTCCTCGGACAGCACCGCCCAGGCCCGCCCAACCCTCCCCGGGCGCGGGTCCCTTCCCCTCACCCCGCCCCGCGCTTCCCCTTTCCAGCCTGCACTGCGGCCACAACCGGGAACCCTGGCTTCTCCCGGGGACGGGGGGAGGGGGAAGTGGGGGCCTGGCCTGACCTCGCGGAGGACGCGCCCCGCTCCGGCTCGCGGCCGCCACCTCCACCCCCCCTCCCGGCCCGGGCCCTCGCGGTTGCGTCATCTCGGCAGACGCGGCCCCGCGCCCCGGGGGAGATTTTCACAATCGCGCGGCCGGCAGCGCCAGCAGCCATTTGCTGCGCAGTGTAAACAGGCCCCAAAGCCGCCTCCATTTTGCACGGCCCCCAGACGGCAGCACCGCCAGCACCGCGCTCCGATCTCCCGATCCCCGGGGCTGAGTGACGCCCACCCGGGTGGACGCCGTCGGGTAGGCTCGGCCGAGACCCCGTGGCCCCCCAACCACCGGAGCTGGAACCCGCGCCCCGAGAAACAAGACGCGCTGCCCGGGTGTCAGGAGACGGGACCCCCAGCTCCCCGGGGGCCCCCGCGGAGAAGCCCTGGGCGGCGCCTACGTGCGCGGCCTCGCACCCCGCTTCCCGGGACATCGACTCGCTCGCTCTGGGACGAAAAACGGGTCCCGCGAGGTCGGCCGCGTGCGGAGGCCACACCGGGGAGCCCCCGGGGTCCGCCCGCCGCGAAGCACCCCCGGCTCCCGCACCGCAAGCTGCACGGCTGGGACCGCGAAGTGCGAATCCACCCGCCCCGCGAGCCCTGCGGAGCCTCGCACCGCCCCCGCCCCCAACCACATTGCCCCGCGCGCCCCCCAAGCCCGACCCGCAAGCCGAAGCCTGTCCCCGGTCCACTGCGAAGCCCCATCCCGCGAACCCCGCAAAACGCACACGCCTCCCCCAGGTTCCGCATCCCGAGCCCAGATCCGACCTCCGACCTCACCCTCAAGTCAGGCGCCCCCGCAAACCCGACCAAGGACCTCACGGCCTCTCCGGACCAGGCTCCGGACCCCCCGAGAGCGCTGCCAGGACCGGGGGCGACCTCCGGGCCCGCCCCGCCCCGCCCCCGGCGCGATCCCGGCCTTGACAAAGGGGCGGATCTCGCGCGCCCGGGACCCATCTGTCGACCCGAGGCCGGCCCCCCGCGGGCCTGCGCTTCTGGAAGCTTCGGACGGGGGCGGGGCGCTCACCTCTCACTGCTGCGGCCGCCGCGGCTGTGCAGGCTGAGGAGCGGCATGCTGAGGCTGGCGTGGACGGTGGCGCTGGGTTTATCCCCTTCCTTCTCTCTGGCGAAGCAGTGGCTGTTGAGGATCCGCTGCAGGGAGGATTTCACCATCCGGCCGCTGGGGTCCGAAACCAGGAAAACCTCCGCTGCGCCTCTCCGCGCCGCCGCCGCTGCTCGCCGTTCGCAAAATGGCGTCGTCGTCGCCGCCCGCCTTTATAGACGCCGCGCCCGGGCCACGCCCACCTCGCCGCCGGGAACGCGGCCGCGCAAGGGGCGGAGCGCGGGGCTGCCGGGGAAAAAAAAAAAAAAAAAAAGGCACGTCCTCCCCTCCCAGGGTCTGATTGGTGAAAGGTGAGGGACCAAAGGCAAGGCCGCTCTGAAGATTGGTTGTTGAGCCTTGGGGCACGCCCCCTCCTGCGCGCGTCACGCTGCGGGCGCCAGGGGGCGGGGCTGCCGTAGCGCGGGGTACGCGCTGCGCGCGCCCTAAGGCGTCCCCGCCCCCACAACTGGGCCTTGGGGCGGGGACGGCTCTTTGGGGCCGAATTTTGGTGGTTTCCGAGTGCCAGTTTATCCCTCGCGGTCCCCGTCACCCTCCCTAGGGCCCCTTCACGCAGCGGGACCCCTCTCCTGGCGGCTTGGGGCGACAAAGGCCCCCGCGTATTGGGGGGGGTGGTCTCACCGCGCCCATCCCCCATAGGACAAAATTATTTCACGTAACACCTGGTAATCATCGCTGATTATTATTATTATTATTATTTTTTGGTCTTTCTGTTCTTAAAAAGCTCCCGATGTTTTAAACAAGAACTTCCAATGTTAAAGATATTATCAAGCAAAAATGTTACTCCTTGAGGATAAATTCAGATTTTTTCCTGTGGAAACTAAAACTTACCCTAAAGAGAAACGTTCCTCTTGGCGGTTAAAACGCGGAAACACATCTCATGTGTGAACTGAAATGTGCATCTCGGGCGCGGCGGATCACGCCTGTCATCCCAGCACTTTGGGAGGCCGAGGCGGGTGGATCACGGGGTCAGGAGTTCGAGACCATCCTGGTCAACATGGTGAAACCCCGTCTCTACTAAAAATACAAAAAATTAGCTGGGCATGGTGGTGCGTGCCTGTAATCCCAGCTACTCGGGAGGTTGAGGCAGGAGAATTGCCTGAACCCAGGAGGCGGAGGTTGCGGTGAGCCGAGATCGCGCCATTGCACTCCAGCCTGGGTAACAAGAGCGAAACTCCGTCTCAAAAAAAAAAAAAAATGGATTTCCCGAGGGAAAAACGAT